ATTTATTAGAGAGAAAGAGAGCACAAGCAGGGAGGAAAGGAGAAGCAGACTTCTCACTGAGCAAGGAGCTTGATGTGGGGCTTGATCCCAGGACCCTGAGATCATGACCTGAGCCAAAGGCAGACACTTAATCAACTGACCCACCTAGGCATCCCAGCATTAATGCTTTTAAATTATTGATAGATATTTGGATCTCAAATAAACTCTGATTATTTAGTTCAGCAATGGCAAATATATTTCACTTCATGTTCTAAGTCCATTTAGTTGGTAGTGTTCACCTGGAGTACTATTGGAAAAGTGTTTTTAATCCATATCAGGTTCTTTGGCTAAGAATTCAGTGATCAATTATTAATGTCTGCCCTGGGTTTGCATAATGGAAGTAAGGACATATGTGCTAGATATTTGCGTTCTCTAATGTTCCCATTTGCCTCCCCTATGATTATCTTGAGCCCATCTTGATCATGTGAATATGATTTAGTTTGTAGCTTACCCGTTTTGGAAAACCAAAGTCATAATTAAATTAAAAAGTCAAAAAGAATCAGATAGTTGTGCCCTTTTCCCTGGTCATTTATTATGGTTTCTAATTAGCTACATGATAGGATACTTTACTCATAAGTATCCAAGATATTCCACTCCTTTGAAGCATATTCAGCCCCAAGCTGAATAGAGAGATAAAATGCCCTTTAGTATCCTTAGTTTCAGAGTTTTGGATGTAGTTTTACATAGATAGATCTTGTCCACTGTAATTTAAAACAATGAGAGCAAAGGAGCTTCTTTAGAGTTTCCAGATCCTGTTAAATGTTATTTTTAAGATAACATATTTTCTTGTCCTTCATTTATGAATGTTTGGTCAGGAAATGGTCATAAAAAGCTTCAAATCCCAATTGAATAATGCGTTCTCAAAAGTAGCTGCCAAGTGTAAATACCACTGATATACATTCATGCATATGATAGTATATAAATAACCAGGAAAGCATAGCAAAGGTCAATCAATTATGTATAGGTCAGAATGCTTTCCATCTGGATTGAGTCATTTTAGTAAATGACATCATGTGTCCTTTGGAGTCTATTGTGAAATGTGGCTTGAGTCATTACAGATTGGCTTTTTCTCTGGGTTACCAGGATGGCAGTGGTAAGGCTCAATAAATAAATGTATTGGACTCTGCAGGAGCAGATTTGCATAATTGGGGGTGTAGTGATGAAGGCTTCTTAATCTAGACAAAAACCTTTGGGCCCTATCCACCCCACCAATTTCTACTTTTTTATCTGTCTTTTTTTTTTTTTTTTTTTTTAAGAACTTGAAGACAAAAGAGTTGGAAATGAGCCAGATGCTCTTTATATAACTGCAGTGGATATCTTTCGATGAAATTGCCAGCAGGGAATCAATAGTAATAAATCTGGTACCCTTCTAATCTCTTTAAACTTCACCATTGCTCTTCTGAAATGGGGTTACTTGGACCCTGTAAATTTGTTTTATAATTTCTACTTGATCTGATGGAGAGTGGTCTCACCAGATTGCCACACTCTAGAGTGACTGGCAATAGGGGATGTTGTATGAGATGGGAAGGGATGTTGGCATTTTCCAGTTGGCATAACAGGAGCTGAATTTAGCTTATAGACCAAGTGGTAAAAGTAGCTGCCAAGTCCAGTCATTTCTGATTAGTCAGGGCCTAAGGAGGTAAATGTTACTTGACAGAATTTAATGTGTGATTTTTCCCTCCCTTGAGGATATTTTGAAAATGTTAAAAAGTTGTTTTTTAAAAATAAGATGACTTATAATAAGAAGGACTTAGAGTCAAAATTGATGTCATGTTCTATAGGCATATATAGTTGGAATCTAAGTTTGGTTCTGAGCTCTTAGAAAGAACAAGGTTTGGGCATCTTTATGAATGAAAGGAAATGGTCCATGCCTCTAGGGAGCTTATAGTCTAGTGGGAAGACTGACATGCAAACACATTACCACAGTATAAGATAATAGCTGCTCTAATAAGATATAGGTGTTAATCCAGGCAGGACTGATATTTCTGTCACTTACTTATATTATCCTTTACATACTTATTTGGGCTCTAAACAGCTGAGAAACATGCCTATATTTATTATCAAGGTGTTTTGAGAGTGAACTTTCAGTTTTCAAGATGGCTACTCTGTGTTTTGGTGATTCAGAGGCAATGTGGCTTCCTTCTCTTGGAATGGTACTTATTGTTCTGTACACAACACAAAGCCTTAACTTTATTTTAGTAAAACCTCACAGATTCCGAGGGACTATTCTTTGATCACATCTACCTGAACCAAAACCAATTGGGAAAAGGTGAATATAGAGGTCAATTTGCAGTTGTTTCTTATGGTAACTAACAGCTGATTTGCAAGGTTTTATCTTCTTCCCCCACTATTGTCTTTGATTATAATCTGTGGTCATGGATCCATCAGCTGATTCAGTGTGGCACAAAAAGGGACGTATTTGATCACCTCAGAGACTTCTGCTTATATCTCATTTTATGAACCACTCCTGCTGTAGGGGGTCCTAGAGAGAGAGGGTAGTTAACAGAGACTGGATTGACCAATCAACAATCACAAAATTTCTTATTATCCAAAAAGAACCATTGTCAATACTACACCTACTGTTTTTTTGCAGTGTGTTTTTCCTCTTAATAATACCATGAATCTTTTTTTTCATGTCATTAAGTATTCTAGCATGTAATTTTTAATGTCTGCATAATATTCCTCTTTTGAATAATCTTTTGTTTGAAATTCAGGATTTCTAGTTTTTAATATTATAAATAGTACAGTACAGTGGTAAACATCCTTGTAGCTATATCTTTTTCAGCACTCTTTTGACCTTTTATCTTTCATTTTGAGTCTTCCTTTAAAAAACAAATCAGCACATAACAATGATATAAGTAAATATTTAATTACTCTCTTTGAACAGAGTCTGGAGAGAGGATTTTTTTTTTTTAAAGCACAAAAGTGTGCACATGCAAGTAAGCAGTAGAGGCAGAAGAGTGGGAAAGGGAGAGGAGAAGCAGAGAGAGAATCCCAAGGAAGCTCCTTGCCCACTACAGAGCCTGATCTCCTGACCCTGAGATCATGACCTGAGCCGGGAACCAGGAGTGGGATGGTCACAGGACTGAGCCATCCAGGCACCCTGAGGAATTCTTTAATAGCTCAGATAACTTAGATTGTTCTATAGGATGCAAATTATGTTACTGATTTGGCAAAATCAAAGAAGCATTTGGTAAATACAGGGATGAGAGAGGGAGGAGGGAAGTGGCCAATTTTCTGATGGAATCAACTGAGTTGGTTCAGTTAAAATGGCTTTAATGAATTTTACAGGTCTGATGAAGGGCATCTGGCAACATGTTAATTTTTCAGAATCCCTTCTGCCTAAAACTATATTTTCATCTGACATTGTGTTTCTTGTTGTACAAAGGTTGTCAAATGAGAGTGTGAAGGTAGTTCATCTCACAACTCACCTGCCAGAATGTATCCTAGGCATGTTGAGGTTGAAAGCCTGGCATCCACACCAGCTAAAAGCAGACACTGTAGAGAAGTTTGGCTTCCAGAAGAGTAAAAGGGGAAGTGCTGACACTGTCTACCACCTCCCCCTGACACTGCTGTGGTCTTTGGGAAGGGATTAATGGTGCCTTTCCTTGTTTGAGAACTAAAAAGGGATCAGCAAAACCCGAGCATGGGGCAGAGGGTTCTGGTACTTGCTGAGTACATTATTTCTTTGAATGGAGTTTTAAATGTCAAGGCTTTTTCTAATGTATATGAGAAATCCTAATTGAGAAGCTGGCCCATATGCTTAGACTATATCCAACTCAGTTTCTTTTTTTAATGCTGCAAAATAAGGTTAATTTTTATGGTGAATATTTTATGGCCCGCTTTCTGTTATGTGGCAGACAAATTGAAGGCAATGCAAACTGATGGGTGGTGAAGATAAAAGAGCAGTGTTGACCTTTTGGTAAATCATTCATCAGACTGCTTCATCTGTAAGTGGCTTTCCAGTTGCAGCTCATATTTGCTAATCACTACATTTGACTCTCAATTCTACAGGGGCTGATTGTCTTGTTGTGGATTGCCTTTTCTTCCCCCGCCCCCATTTTTTTTTTTTTTTTAACTTTGGTTATTGGTATTATAGCTATTTCATTACCATTAGTTCCTCCACCAGAGGGGGCTTGTGGGCAGAGAAACACTGGGAATTAATAATTCGTCTCTTTTTGCGTCTCTTCACTGTGACTTTTAAGGTTTCTCCTCAGTAGCAGAGACATACTTTAAGCATTCCATTCACTTACTCTCCTTTGAGTCTTCTTGTTCCCAATGAAACTAAATTACAAAACGACTGTCTTTGGCAGTGACCACAGAATAGGATAGTAAGCTGGGGTTAATTGTTTAGCACCAGGATAATTTTCGGCTTCCATGTTGATCAAAGTCCCATTCGGGGAAACCAAAAGTGAGAGCAAGAATAGGCTCTTTGTTTAACCCTGGGTCAAATACTAGAAACTATGAAATTTACTATGGTGGAAGCATAAATCTTTATCTTGCCCCTAAAGTGGATCCAAGGCTGGGCATCTGATAGAATCAACTTCACCAATGCCGTAGGGCCTCTATGGTTCTTCATTTCTCCCTCAAGTTCAGAAGTGTGGTTAATACGAAGACCCTTTAAGTCTGAATTAGCCTACAAGATATGGAGGACAACATGGACATGCTTGGCATCTGATCTAGGCAAGAACACTTAGGGAAAAGATTCTGCCTTAGGCCCAAAAGAAATTGACCTTTGTCCACTAGGGAATCCAACCATTCATAGAGCTGCGCCGATTAACCACACAGAAGTTGTTTCTTAATTATGTATTTTAGGGTTTATTAAACAGGGATTGTGTCCCCTCTCTGGAGAGTGAGAATATTTTGATGTTTTGATTGCAATTAAATGGAAATTGGAAATACTAAGAGACAGAAACTAATCAGAAATATTTCATTGTTCCTTTATTCCCAATCAAATGCAGTGTTGAGAAATATCCAGATATTATTACCGACACTCTGCCTGTCTCCTGCTTGAACCTGAGATTCTTCCATTGGGTGAGTGGTCCTGGGCTCAGATTGGCATTGCCCATTTGGTTGATGAGGGCAGTTTGACAATTTTTGCTGGTATGTTTGCTGCTGAATCTCTAAGGGCATGACCATAATGCCATCCTGGAAGTCTGTGCATGTGGTGGGGTAGATGTGGGAGTGCATGACCTTTTTTAAAAAAATTATTTTGTTAAAACACTAATTATAGTTTTATGGCTGCAGCCAATCATAATACTTTTACCTTTCTTTGGATAACAAAGGACTTATTTCTTTATATTCTTTTGTAAAAACACCAAAAAAGCAAGAAATATGATTTCCAAAAAGCAGCATCTTTTAACAGGGAATTTTCAGAACTTACATTTTTTTTTCTCCCTTTGTTAGAGAACTCTTTCTCCCTTTGTCTTCAGTACTCAAGATAGTCTTTGGGGAAAGAACACTTAGGTCCCAGTTAAACACACAATAGTGATAGTCTGTTAATACCAGATCATTCTTATGAGAGGGAATCATTTTTACATGGTGGTGACAGTTTAGGCTTTATTTTTTATTTATTTTATTTTTTTAAGCTTTTATTTATTTATTCACGAGAGACACACAGAGAGAGAGGCAGAGACACAGACAGAGAGGAGCAGGCTCCCTGTGAGGAGCCTGATACAGGACTCGATCTGGGCATCCCGGGATCACACCCTGAGCTGAAGCAGATAGACCCTCAACTGCTGAACCACCCAGGTGTCCCCACTTTATGCTTTAAAAGGAGATTTTCTCTTGTGTTTTCCATGACAGTAAGGTCCAGAAATTAGTCTGGGAGGGGGCAGAAATGAATTAAAATGAATTTTTTGAATCTTGCTTATTGAAAATGTCGATGCTGTCAAGCATGACTTATCTCACCTTCCTGTTCCAGACCCACAAACTTAACGACAAACTTGCCCCTTTTCTTCAAGGCTCAGAGACTCAGAATTTCCTGCATCTTTAAACATTCATCTATGAATGTCCCCTTCACCTTTTATTCTTCTCCACCATCCAATATGGTAATCACCAACCACGTGTGGCTATTTGCATTCAAATTAACTTAAACAAAGTAAATAATTTATTTCCTTAATCCCACTAGCCTCTTTTCAAGGGCTTGAAAGGCACCTGTGGCTACTGGGTATCTCACTGAACAGTATGGATATAGAACATTTCCATCATCACAGAAAGTTCTGTTGGACAGCCCTGCTCTGTCTGATACTCTTGGATATCCCCCTAAGGATATTGCTTCCTCTCACCCTCTCAGGTGGTCGCTGTTTTTTCTCAGTGTGTGGAATAGAGTTGGTTTCATTATTCAGCCCCACCATCTCTTCTAGATGGCTTATTTTCTCTCATGCACAGAAACACTTTGAAAGCAGGTGCTGTCAAACTATATCCCATTGCCTACTCTTCTGAATGCATTCAAAATTGTACCCCCTAGTTCACCGTTTTTATGCCCATCACCCTCCTGCCATCATTGTTGGTAAAAATATCCACATGGAAGACTCATCTCTGGTCTCTCAGTTCCTTGAGTTTCCTACTGGCAAATGTCTCCTTCTCTGCCTATTGGTCATATTTCAGACTGATGGCTCTCAATTTAGGAAGGTCCCCTCTCCTAAAGGGTATTTGCAAATGTAAGGAGTACTACAGGCCTTTAGAGGGCAGGAATAAAGAATGCTCATTCAGTACTCAAGACAGTTCTATGCAATGAAGAATTGTCGCATCCCAAATGTCATAGAGCCCTTGTTAGGAAACATTGTGCTGACCTTCAAAATGCATTTCAAAGCATCTCTCTGACCACCACCTCCTGTCTTTCCAAGGATGTCATCTCATGTGACACCAACATTCCTACACCAATAAGAGCTCTTTGACTCATTAGGACCTCCAGTCTACTAACTGGAGTCTACTAACTCCAGTCCTCTCGTCCCCTCACTTCCCTCTTCATCTAGCTTAGGTGCTGTCATCTCTGTCCTCATCTGGCATAACTCTTGACTTTCTGTTTGCTTTGGGCCTGAGTGGAGATGGATGGAGAGCAACATTAAATTTTATGGACTTACCTTAAATTTATGTCCATTAATTTCAAGTAGCTCCTCTGCTCCACTTGGCAATCCTACCTTATTTATTTAGTACTCCTTTTCTCTGAGACAACAATTTTATACCTTCACCTGTACCTGAAACCTCCAACTCCCATTCCCAATTCTCCCATTCAGCTGATGCCTTCACTTCATATTTCACTGGGAAAATAGAAACAGAGCAAACCACTTCAGCTCCTCCAGCAAATTTGCATTCCTACCTGTTTCCAAATACCAGGAAAGGTTCTTTTCATTTGCATGCCTTTACTACTCTGAACCATATGATGATTCAACTCTCTCACTACTTTTCTCTATTTGAAAGATTGGGAGACCTTCTTTTGTACAGTGTCCCATAATATCATGGGGCTTTCATTTGATATAAACACATCATTTACATATTAATTCTGCCTTTGTTCTTTTCTCATTAGTCCATAACAATTAAAATAGACCATTAGTCTGCCACACTATGAGTTTTTATGATGTCATATCAAAGTCTCCATTAATTAAATAACTTCATAAATTGAAGCTTATTTGATGACAATATCTTTCAGTTGCAAATCATCTCTACTAAAGAGCACAATGGCAGACTTGGGACAATTTTAGCATTAGGACATACTAACCTAACAGCCAGATGTGCTTACTGACACATTGAAAGTTAAAAGCTGTCACTTTAGGTGATCATTTGGTGCCAATGACACCAAGAGCAGAAGAGAGTCTATGAGGGGAAGAAAGGACACACTCAGGCACTGCTATTGGAAAGCACAGCTCAATTATCAGGTTGTCATTTCAATTCTATAGAATGTTCATTAGATTGAACCACAAATTAAAATAAAAATTCTCCCAGGATATTTGGAGCTATGAGACTATGTCATTGGATTTCAGTTTGAGAGACACTGCCCTGCAGGGTAAAGATCAAATTTCTTACCTGAAAATACAAGGCCCTCATTTAACTGGAGGTTGAATTTGAATGGAAGGGAGTAAGATGAAGGCAGTGAGAGAGAAGTTATTAACGAGGTTATAGGGATAAGAGATGAAGAGAGCTGGAGTAGAGTGGGGAAAGGGAGAGACAGAATAAGAGCTGCATCAGACAGAGATGAAAAAAAATAGTGGGGGAGGGGGAAGAAGGGCAGCATCAGAGGTAGATGACAGATAGATTCTTTTATATTCATGTTATACAATCCACACTAGTGGATTGGACATATTAATATGGGATTTTATGCATAGGTTTTATTTTATAAGGATTTATTACCTTCCTGCTTTAAGAGAATATAGTTTGCTGATCTGTCTAAATGACTTACCAAGAATAGCTAAATTATGAGCATAAGCTAAATATGGCAGGGCTTGTTCTGGTGTGCTGTCCTTGATACATTTAGATAATCCCTAATCCTGGGGAAATTGTAGACCAATTTAATGGTTGAAATAAGGCCAAACATATCAGGAATCATAATATGAAAATGATTAGTTTTAGCTGTCAGTAAACAAAGGTTTTTAAGTTAGTTGGGGAAAGGAAAACAGGTATGTAGTCTTTATAAACTATTAAAAGGGACACCCCTATTAGAGATAGAAAAATTGAGAGAAAATAGAGGAACTTGATACAATATTCCATACAAATACCTTTCAAAAGAAAGCAGATGGATGCTATATTAATATCAGACAAAATGTGCTTTAAAGCATAAAGCATTATTATGATTAGAGAGAGTTCTTATCTAATGATAAAAGAACAGTTCACCAGGAAGATATATTAATCTTGAATCTATAGTACTGAGCAGCATCATTTCAAAAATATGTAAAATAAAAATTGGTAGAAGCATTACAAGATACTGAGAGTATAGGTAATCATATTCGGGGAGTTCTAAACATATTCTCTCAGGCACTGATAATATAACTTTAAAAATTAGGACAAAGGAGATTTACTTTTTATTTATTTATTTATTTATTTATTTATTTATTTATTTATTTATTTATGATAGTCACACACACAGAGAGAGAGAGAGGCAGAGACACAGGCAGAGGGAGAAGCAGGCTCCATGAACCAGGAGCCTGATGTGGGATTCGATCCCGGGTCTCCAGGATTGGGCCCTGGGCCAAAGGCAGGCGCCAAAACGCTGCGCCACCCAGGGATCCCAGGACAAAGGAAATTTAAATAATATAATTGATGAGCTTGATCAGATGGACATATATAGGACTTAGAACTCCATTAACAGAGAATATTTACATGTTCAAAGTCTGAACACTGATGAATACAATTGTATTGACTACATTTTCTATCCCAGAGAAGAAAAAATTCAGAGGTAAAAAACCAATAGACATCAAATATTTCATACATTTGGAAACTCAAGATCATACTTCCAAATGATTTTTGAGTGAAAGAAAATGATGAGATAAATTAGTAGATGCTTTATTTTAAATCTTGTACAGTATAGTTAAAGGGGTACACAGAGGGACATTTACAGATTCACAAATTCATGTATTAGAAATAAAGGAATGCTGGTTATTAGTGAGTTAAGCATTCAACCAAAAAGGCATAAATAGCAGAGTAAACCCAGGTAACAGAAGGGATAATAGAACATATTACAAAAACAAATGATATAGAATACAAAAGGAATAGTAGAAAGGATCAACAAAACAAAAGATGATTCTTTGAAAGATGATCCAAACACATACACGTCTGGCAAACGTGATCAATTGCAGAAACAAAGAGGGAGGGAAAGAACACAAATAATATTAGAAATGAAAAGGGAATCCTAAGTAGAGACACACTAGACAATACAAGGTCAAAAGAAGATACTGTGAATAACTGGATGGTACTATATTTGAAAACATACATTCTAATAAATAAGGGTGCCCAGTACACAGATGATAATATACATTCTAAGCTTATGTCCTAAAGAGACATGAGAAGCATGATGTCTATCTTGAGTCTGGCTCCTTAGA